AAGGAAGGAATACGTAATTGAATGGCTAAAATTGAATGGGGGCAGTAGTAGAGAACGGGTGACAGGGATGGTAGTAGTGGTTATAAAGGTGATAGAGGTACGTAATCAGGAGTTCTTTTTTGCCTTACGGAATCAGTAGGTTGACAGGCAGCCTCAGGAACTGCCACAGACGCCCCCCTCGTGCCTGGCCTCTCTGGGTTTTGACCTGTTGGGTGACTGGGTGCTGCTAGTAAGCTTCCTGGCCTGCAGGCCAACCCCCTATGAAAGGCCAAGGCTTGGGGGGTGGGATGCTCTGTAGCAGTCCCCCCTATACGTCTAGTACCACAAGGGTGGGACCATTGCTTTCCTTTTGTCTGTTCTCCCCGCTTCCTTTGGATGGGTGTAAAAACCTTGCTTGTTGGTGATAAGCAACCGGACTGATGCCCGCCAGAATAGAACGGGCTTTGTTGTTTCGAATCTTTGGAGAAAAAAAAAAACTTGCTTTGTAAAAAACTTGCTTGCCGGTGATAAGCAGCTGGACTGATGCCCCCCAGAAGTTCTCATGTGCGTATATGTCCTCAGAGTCCTTGTTTCATGGCCGTACAGGGATTTCCATCACTAATTTATTGTCGGTGTGTTTTTCTGGGTGGCCAGGGATCAAGGTGGACGCCAACTTCTCAGCATATCAGCGTGGCGTGCAGGCAGACATTTTCATAAAAGATGTGACTGGAAAGCCTTATGTGGCACAAGTATGGCCAGGGGCCACCCACATACCTGATTTCCTGAACCCGAGAACCCGTTCATATTGGGAAGAGGAGATCAGAGAGTTTCATAACAAGCTAGGTTTTGACGGGTTATGGATTGACATGAACGAACCGGCGAACTTCTGCTCTGGTGTGGTTTGCTCTGTCACGAAGGGATGCCCTGTACCAGGTGTGCCTCCCTACATTTGCTGTTTGTCTTGCCAAGGGACCGACTCGACTGACAACGACCACAGTGGAGCTGACAACGTGTCGACGAAGTGGGATCGCCCACCATATAAAATCAACTCTTATGGCCAGCACGCACCTATCGGGACAAAAACCCTTCCAGCAAGTTCTCAGCATATCAATGGCATCCTTCACTACAATGCACACAACATGTGAGTTATCCACCTACCCACACTACCCCTTCATTTGCATCCTGTGTGTGTGTGTGTGTGTGTGTGTGTGTGTGTGTGTCCCGCATAATATGTCATGTTTGCAGTATGATACGGGAACCGCATCATAATCAAGCTCCGAAATAATTTATCGGTGCACCTTAAGAATGAAAACTTGTAGGTGTGGTGCAGACGCATCCGATATTCGGAGGTGGGGAATGACTATGCCGGACTACATGAGCATGCTCAGGAACCAGAACTTGTAGGCGTGGTGCAGACGGAACCTATACTGTAAGGTGGGGAATGACTATGACGGACTACACGAGCATCCATTCTCCCACTGCACTTTGCGGGCGAACTGTGGAACACACACGATCAAACAGACACCACAAGACAGGAAGCACAATAAGGCAAAAGGCAAGGAGGCAATGACAGCAAACTGCAGACAGGCACAAGGACTGGGGGGCAGGGGGGAGGTGGGAGGGCAGACCACACATAAATGCACAAAACAAGGAAAGACAAAAGAAAAGTGCAAGTACAGAAAGATACCCCAAGCATAAGTGCAAAGGAAAATGAGCTATGGCGAGATGACAATGGCCAGAATACACAATCACATTGAAGGCCAGATAGTAGCACAGTGTCCAGAAAGCAGGAATGCACCAATATAACACCAATGAGGAATCATAACACTGAAAACCAATGTCAATGAAAGCTTGCTCTCGCCACCACCAACACGAGTGTCCAGGCCCTATCTCTCTACTTGGCGCTCGGCGCCCAGCCTACTTCCTACACAGCTAGAGTCTGCCTACGACAATGCAACTATTGACGTCAGCAGCTCACGAAGTACTTGAAGATGTCGCCCAATGCAGACCATCGCCAATACCAGGTATGTGCCCTCACATCATCATCATCATCATCATCATCATCATCATCCTTCTCTCTCTCCCCTGACTTACTCCCACGTCTTCCCTCTGTACACCCGAAGACCACCCCTGTGCCTCACTGTAGTCCAAGCCCATCCAGCTATGGAGGCTGGTCTATGGCGCTGCCCTCAGCAGCGCCCTGCTCCCTGCACGACCGCACGCACTAGCACCTTGCCTTGCAGCGCCAGCAGCAGCCCACGAGTGTCCGCTCCAGCAGCACTGCCGCCAGCATGCAAGCGCTTGAATGCCACTCCAGGCAGCGAGCTCTTTCCTATATGGATAGAGCCTGCCTGCCTTCGCAGCCTGGCTGGACTGGGCCTGGGCCCAGAAGCTTCCGGTAGGCCCCAGGATGCTGCGCTTGTGTTGCAGCTACTGTGCCTCTTTCGATTGGGCCTCCCAATTGTCGGTGTATGAGGCTGCGATTCTCGCCCAGGGCCTGCATTCTTGGAAAGGCCCAGAAGGCCGTGGAATGTCTCGCTGCTTGGCCTCAATGGCCTGTGTTTCCCTCAACCAACTGGCACGACGAAACTGTCTGGACCCCGAATACGAAATTGACAGCGTAGGGCCTCTCGTGAGTTGTTAGGCCCGCCTTCACGTAGGGCAGGCACATCTGCTGTAAGAGGCCCCTTAGGCCTGCCGAGGACCCATATCCTCGCATAAGACAACAGGCAGCAGCAAAAGACAATGGGTGGAGGGCACGGGGGAGGGCAGATGTCACTCAAACACACAAAGCAGGCAAAGCAAAAAAATATATACAAGTCCCCCAAAACAGCGAAGACCGAAAAAAAAAAAACCAATGATTATAAGATTATTTCGTCGGAGTTGCACCGATTCATCAGGAAGCTGAACCCTCGACAATCTGTGGAGTCTTCATATTGGATGGTTTGGGTCATGAACCCTTCAACCCTTGTTGAAGGCAGACTGTCCCCCAAACGGAACACAGCAGCGGGCAGCAACCCTGTGGAGCACCAGGCAACGCAGTAGAGGCAACACGGCTGCACAATGCCAAAAACGACTGCAAGGAACGACACGGCGCGCAGGACAAGCAGTCCGGCAACCCCTCCGTGAAGCACAAGGCAACACCAACAGGGCAACCACACAGCAGGGGATGACAACGCCATCGGTTGAGTAGCACGGCAACCATGCAGTGGAGCACAAGGCAGAACCTGCAAGGCAAGTGAACCACAAGGTGCGCAAGCAAAGGACATGGAAGGCATGACCAGCAAATGAGCGGCAAGGCAGCGGAGCAGCGAAGCGGAAGGCAACACCAGCAACACAGCCACACCACACAGCGAACGCAACAATTTCCGGAGAACCACATGCGAAGCAAGCGGTACAGGCAGCAAGGCAGTGGCAGAGCGCAGACGAGGCAGTCCGCACATCCAACACGGAGCAAAGCAGCACATCACCTACTCACATCACGATTGAACACCGCAGACTGTTGGTTCCCACCACCCACTGAGCCAGGGAGTCACTCCGACGAGCATCCTTCATCACGCACAGGCAACACAGACATCCCGGACTGAGCAGCCCCCCTAAGAGTGCAGTAGGCACCTTAAATGAGGAACCGCCGACTGTTTGGCACTACTTAAGGGTGTTCAATTGGGTAAGTAAAAGCACTTCAAAAACATCAGAGGGAGAACAGACAACAAGAGGAAAACAGACGACAAGAGGAAAACAGACAACAAGAGGAAAACAGACAGACATAAAACTGATTGTGTGTGTGTGTGTGTGTGTGTGTGTGTGTACGAGAGAGAGAGAGAGAGAGAGAGAGAGAGAGAGAGAGAGAGAGAGAGAACCAAGATTACGAATGTAAAGATTCTACATGCACTCTTGTTTCCACAACACTCGTAGTGGTTCATTACCTCTTTGCTGTTCCTCTCTCTCCTGCTGTGCAATCTGCTGCCATTAATGTCACTTCTGCCTCCCTGATGTTCTTCTCAACCTCCTAGTTATCGCCTACTCCTCCACTTCAGCCTTCTATCGCTGCTGCTACCATAGAATATAGGTATGAACTGTGTTACCTCCCTTCAGTTGTGGCGAAGTCCCATTGCATCTGCAGGGAAGGAATCCCTGGCCAACGCATTTTGTTACATCCACTTACTTTTTTCTTTCTTTGTTTTCCAGATTTGGGCTGTCCCAGGCGCAGGCAACTTTGACGGCTTTGAGATCTGTGATGATGAAGCGACCTTTCCTTCTCAGTCGGGCGACCTTCCCAGGGTCAGGTGCATACGCTGCACATTGGAGCGGTGACAACTGTGCCACGTGGAAAGACCTTGCACACTCCATAACTGCTATGCTGAACATGGGGCTGTTTGGGATCTCGATGACGGGGTCGGACATCTGTGGGTTTCGTGGGAATACTACAGAGGAACTGTGCAGACGATGGGTACAGGTCGGCTCGTTCTACCCCTTCGCGAGGGATCATTCCGACATAGGCACACTGCGCCAAGAGCTATATCAGTGGGAATCGGTTGCAGAAACGGCCCGGAAACATCTGAGTTTGCGGTATCGACTTCTACCCTACTTCTACACCCGGATGCATGAGGCAACTTCTAGCGGATTGCCGATCGTACGCCCATTGTTCTTCACCTTTCCGAAAGACGCGGTGACACATGCAATCAACCAGCAATTCCTGGTGGGCAGGGGATTGATGGTAAGTCCAGTGCTAGAAGAGGGGGCGGAGAAAGTGAACGCCTACTTCCCAGAGGGTTCGTGGTACAACCTCCAAGACTTTTCTTTTGTACAGAGCATCCAAGGAGGGAGATGGGTCACACTGCCAGCACCTCAGCACACCATAAATGTCCATGTCTTTGAGGGTGAAATTCTGCCAATGCAGCAGCCTGGGATGACAACTGCCGTGGTGCGAAGGTCTCCCTTCTCCTTGTTCATAACCTTTCCTGCATGGCATGAGCCATGCACTGACTATAACCTGGCTGAAGTTAGTTCCTTAATAGCCGATAACCAGACGGCTATCGACTCGATAATAGCCGATAAGCAGATGGCTATTACTCCATGGCTATGCAGGCAAGGTCATCCTTCATTGTTTCCCCAAACTGAACCTCTTCTCCTCTCTGCCACTGCTAAGGGAGATCTCTATATTGACGACGATCGGGTAGTTCAAGAGATGGTGGTAAGAGATGAACTTGACCACGCCACTTACATCACATTTGATGGCGGAATCAAAGTTTATGCACGTGGGGGACAGTCACAAACGGGGAAACGCAGTGCTGGACTCTATGGAAAAGGCTCCTTGCAAGCGTCTGTTGTTAAGGGTGGACAGTTTGCCTGTAAGGAGGGGTGGATGGTTGACGAAGTGGTCATTCTTGGGCCATCTTGGGCACCTAACCACCTCACTATTAATGGGAAAACGTCTCGTCTTCAACGAGATGTGCAAACGAGTTTCGACCCAACTCTACACAAGACATATTTCTTTGACATGAACCTCAAACTTTGTGACGGTTTCACCCTTGAATGGGAGGGGCAATGGTAATTGTACAGTGTTTTTTTTTCCCTTGGAACTTAAGAAATCTTCCTCCGCACCCCCTTCCTCTGCCACCTCTCTCTCTCTCTCTCTCTCTCTCTCTCTCTCTCTCTCTCTCTCTCTCTCTCTCT